ATAAATCAATGAAAATATTACCTGAAGGCTTCCTGACCCGCTGTATCCCAAATTTGAAGTTTTATTTGTTTTCCATCAATAGTTATCATTCGTGCACCAAATTCAACTCCAATTGTGAGATCATGAACAGGCTGAAAACGTTTATCTGTGAACTGTAGAAGGAGGCATGATTTTCCTACACCTGTATAAGATTAAAAAAAATTAATAGTCAATTTTAGGCTCATATTCAGTTTTCAAAACAGCAGTCGTCAAATATTCATTTAACGGAGAGATATCATGTTTGACAACAGATGTGCAGAAATAATTATTCCACTCCCACAAAGGAAAATCAATAGAACACTCACCCGTATCTCCTATTATTATGTATTTAAACAAATAAGCATAGGACATCGTAGAATACTTTAGATAACTATTATAATTATAAAGATGCAAAATTGAAAAGAATCAAAAGATTTTGTATAATTTATTGCGTTTAAATGTCGTTTCAACCAGCTATATTTACGTCATATCAAAACTGAATTGAAGCACTTGTCAAAAACAAGAATGAGTTTCAGCAGTGACTCATTGATAAATATTTTTGATATTGGCTAACCTGCATCCAGAGATTCTAAACATTTGGAATTCATGATTAAAATCATAGATAAAAGAAGAGTCATAAAATCATAAAATCTTAAAATCACCTAATTAGTAATGAGCAGATAATACAATTAATATGACGTTATGAAAAATTAAATTTATCAAAGGATATTTATAATATAAATCAATTTTCAAATTTTATTCTAAACAGCACTACATTAGTTTTTTACACCTGCATTCGACACTCGCAAGACATTAATGCTTCTAATTAGTATTTGATAACAATAACACATCTTGATATTGTATCTCTTTTTCAATAAAAATTGCCTGCCATATAACTCCTGCATATTTAAAAGGTGTTTAATTACGTCCTGAATATGTTGTAAATTAAATGTTTCATTTGGATAATCAAATGCTTGTACTGATATTGCTTAATAAATACATAATAAAAAAAGTTTTTAAAGTATTTAGTCAAAGTCCTATTTACTATAAAATGATTTTCATAAAAAACGAACCATGAACAAGCGATGAATGCATGACTCACTCAGATGCACTTTTTGTCAGTAAAATTTATTTCCATTCTGGCAACACCATTAGTGCAAGTCGTTCTCGCCGTGCTCTGATATTTATCTGTGAAGAAGGCTTGCACGTGCACGATTTGCATTATTCGTTTTGCTACTTACGGCGTAAATCGAATTGGATACCGTTTTAGTAGGCGGTAAGCTCTTAACAAGTATACGATTGACTTTTAAACTCACCTCGTGGACTATTCTCTTACATATAAAATATTTATCAACGTTTTAGAGGTGATCAAAGTAAGGTATGTAAATGAGATTGATAACATTATTATTATATGCAACTTTTACGCAATTCGATTTTCGCATTATGTATGCATAGTTTTTTGAGTACTAGTATAAATTCTGCATTATATTTTCTCTGTTCACTATTAGTTAATTATATTGCAAGAAATGATTAATTGATACTGATTTTGATTACTGTACAGGACAACATGGTTAAAAAGCCAGAGAGTGAGAAGGCTACTGAAGGCAAAAAGCACAAGCCTAAATGCCTTCCAGCAGGAAAATACTGCCTTATCAGTTGTGATATGGATACAACTGGACGAAGGTTAATAGATGAAGTAAGTTATAATATATACTGATCTAATATTCCGATGAAACCTTTTTGTAATCCACCACATGAATATTATTAAGCATACCACACCCCTAATGATGATGCCATTTTTGTTTTAAATCATAATTTTTCAACAGATATTAAATGAATTTAGATTTGATCATATCAGCTTTTGATGGTCATAGTTAATTTATAAATTTTACCAAGTAACTTTTTTCTTGTTTAGATATGCCATATAGCAGCATACACTCCAAATAGCCAATTTTCCCAATATATCATGCCTTATGCAAATTTAAACCCAAGTGCTAGACGAAGACATAATATTCGTGTTACAACTGATGGCCGTTTTAGAGTTTTGAGAAGCAATATAAACAATAAGGTAAACAAAACACAAAACTGAATCATATGAAAATTTATATGCAATCTTACATTTATTTTTTTACAATAGGTTATAAGAACAAAGTCAGAAATATCTGCGTTAATAGATTTTTTGAATTGGCTTGAAGAAGTCAAGTCAAAGTCAGATGGAGCAGGTGTAATTCTTATATTCCATGAACCTAAGAAATGGTATCTTACATGCTCTTAGAAGCTCTTCAACGTTACCATTTACTTGGAAAGTTTCATGAAATTGTTAAGGGTTTTGCAAATGGACATGCATTAGCGGAAGAGAAATGTTCAACTACCATGAAGTCTTTTAACCTTAAAGTTTTATCCAGAGTCTTACTAGATCGAGAAGAACAATTCGATAATGCATCAAATAGAGCAAAAATTATTTGGGAAATAGCTCAACATCTTGGCAAGGTTTGACTGCCATAAATTCTATTTAATTTTTTTTAGTAAAAATTTCATATTCATAGTAATTATTTCAGGTGAACAAAAGAACTTAGCAGCTGGTACTGGAGATCCAAATCGTGTAATATTAGACAACATGGTAGAAGTAGTTCGCCAGTATTCGCATCCTACTTCTGTAGAATTAGGTGAACTAAAAGAACTGCGCAAAGTTGCTGAAAGAAGCAGTTCATTCCAGCCAATATTTAGTGCAGCTAGCAAAATGAATTATCGGGATATTCAGCACATAAATGTTTTAAGATCAATATTGGCTGAAGGCAAATCTGATTATAATACCATGAAAAGTACATATGAAACAGATGGAAAACAAGGCCTAATAAATGAATTGGGTTAGTATCTCATGATGCAATTTAGAATGATTATACTTTTTTGTCTTATCAATTACAAAACTACCAAATACCATTTTTTTTTACTGATTACAGCCAAATTGCAAATTACAAGGAAAGATCAACAACATGATTTATTAGAGATATTGGACTCACATTTTGATCCAAAACGTACTGCCACATTCCCCAATACAAAAACGCCAAAAAAACCTAAAAATAGGAAATAAATAAGACTGTTAGCAGTGATGATAGCGGAGCTGTGTCTCCTGATACAACTACAACAACTTCTCCTTTAAAGAATGCTGCAGATAAAACTGTGAAGACTAATTATTTTAATGCCAGATAAACTTGATTTTTGATATACATATGTTGGTATGTAGTTATGAATTTAATATACTTTAATTAAACCCATTCCAAAAATCATAATTCATATTTTTTAAATTTGATTTAAGAAATCTTAATGTGTAACTTTATTTTGTTTTTATTTAGAGCTGTAAAGTTTTATTGTACATTTTTAGCTCAAAACTTTTTATAAATTCAGTTTTTGTTAATATCTAGAAGTCATACAGATTATGTTCATATGAATTGTGATTTTATCGGTTTGGATTTACTAAATGGGCATTATTGAATAGTATTATTTTAAATTGTGCCTTATATTCATTAAACTTTTTCTTAATATTTTTTATTTATCTTGCTGAATGTATGAATTTATGAAACACTATATATTTGAAATTACTTAAGAAAATAAATTGTTAAATTTTTCAATTGAAAATTGATAATTTTGTAATAAGGGAAGACTGCAATTTATTGTGCAATGTAATAAAAGTAAGCATATATATATATATATGAAATATATAATTTATATTAAATGAATGTTTTATTATACAAAATTATGAAATATTTTAAACCGTAATACAATCATGCTTGTGCAGATCTTCTGTACCAAAATCTAGCACGGAAGTCATCAGAACATGTAAGAAATGCTGGATGTGTGGGAGAATGAACAATAAATCTAACTGGGCCGTTATGTCCTAATGACATCAATTGTGCTCGAGAGGCATTTCTTGCATTCCAAGCACATAATGATGTAGTAGCTTCATCAGGGAAAAGTACATAATCCTCAGTGTGATTGAATACTGCTTGTGCTGTGTGCTCTTGCTTACCTTAAAAATAAAATAAAAAGTTCAATATAACAACATCATATATGTGTGAATGGGAATGTATAATTTATCTAATTTACCCGTTGTGCCAGCTCCTGTATAAGCAATTAAACACCTGCTTGTACTTAGTTCCCATAGTTTTACTAGAGAATCTTTACCAGATGATAATAGATACTGTGAATGAACAAATGATATGAATCAATATCAATAAATAATTTTTTCTACATGTGTGAATCTAACCTTTCCGTTTCTTGAAAAAGCAATGGAGCAAACTTCTTGACCGTCATGTGCCTTTTGGAATGTATTTACACAGCGACTGCTGACACCATCCCAAAGCTTTATAGTACCATCAGCACTTGCAGAAGCATAAAGCTATAATATATATATTAATTAATATAATACCTGCTATTATTTAACATTTAAAACTATTATCATTTTAATTACTTTTCCATTAGCTGAATATTTGACATGATTAATTGCATCAGTGTGATGAAAATTTCTGAGGTGGCTGACAAAACATTGTGCAGTCTCTATATCATAAAGTCGAACTACAAAATGATTAGTTCCTGCAAGAATATAATCACCTGTCGGATGAAAAGCCAAGCATCTAACTGAACATGAATCCTAAAAATATTACAATTAACAAATGTTTGAACCTTAATTGTTATTTTTTTACCATAATTGTCCTGTAAGCTTTTTTAACAGAGGCCTTTGAAATATCAAATAACTTTATAGAATTGTCTTTTGAACCAGATGTAAGAATTTGTTCTTTTGGATGAAATTCTAAGCAAGTTACTTCATCTGTATGATCATATAATGTTCTGATAACTGGATGTCCTTGTGTTTCACGCCCCGGGTCCATTTCATCAGGAGCTGATTTTGCAAGCATTCTATCGACATCTAGAATCTATAACCAACGAAAAAATTTCAAATAATTTAGAAAAGTTTATTTTAAATAAAAATAGTTAAAATATGTGAATATTTTACCTTTATACTCGCATCAACGCTTCCAGTGGCCACCAATTGACCATCGAAACTGAAGGAACCAGCTCTACAGGCTTGTTTATGTGATGTTACATAAGCAGTCTCATAACTAGCTGGCTCTGCGGCAAGTGTGGAACCTTCAGTCTCAAATTCTAAGTCTAATCCACCACCATTGTTATCATTGAGTAATGCTTTCTCTTTGCGATCTGGTTCTGCAGCTAGTCCTGATATCATTATATTCAGGAGTTTATCACTTGGTGGACATGGGGGATCAGGAAGAACTAATGTTGATAAAGATACAGCAATGTTCTGATGACCATCATAAAATAGTTGGCTAAAATAAATTATTAATGCATTTATGAAATAACTCTAGCATTGTTGATATAAATTTAAACTATCTAACCTTATCATCAATCTATAAAGTAATTCTCTATTTTTGATAACATTTTTGGGATCGGGTACTTCAAA